ACCCAGCAAAAAAATCCCCTAAGCAGAGGTTTTAAAAGCTAAACTTTAACCAAAGTTGGCCAGAGTCAAAGGTTAAGTGGAAGATGAACTCTGCTCGTTTCAGGTGGGCACAAATTATGACAAGAAAAACGAACACAAAGCGGGGCCCAAGAAAGGAAAGGGGTAATGAAAAAACAACAAAAAACCAGAGAAGCCAAAGAGATGTTTGGCTGCAAAATGGAACATTTTTTCTGTATATTAATTGTTTAAAATGTACAAAAAAAATTTTGAAAAATATATGAAGTTGGTTTTGTTAAAGTTGCAATATTTTTGCATCATTGTAGATTTTTTAATCAGTTGAAGATTAGTTATTTAACAGTCTATAAGACTTTTACTAATGTATATTTTATTGTTATTTTTTATGGAATTTTTTGTATTTTTATTTTGTTGTAAAGAGCTTTTGGCACTGCTGTCATTCCACTGGCACTCCCCTGGCTGTACCACACCCCGATCTATCGTTTAACCTTTGGATAAATGACTCAATTAGAGGCTGTTCTAATAGCTCCTCTCAAAGCATTCACCCCCCATGAATTGTGACCCCCAAAAAGCGTCTGTTCGATGGGGATCGATCGGATCTCATGATTAACCATCGTTCCTCCCACGACCCAACCGCAAGAGGGAACACTCGTTGGTTCGTAAAATCAAGCAAGAAAAGTACTACAAACAATAAAGAAACAACAACAAGAGAACACATTATCAAAACAATAAACAATTGATGATATTTTACTTACGATAGCCACAGCAAAAGCAACCACAGAACAGCAACAAAACAGCAGGGAAATCAATAAAGCAAACAACAAAAGAAACACACAGAAAATACGAAGAAAAGATGAGGGGAGCGGGGGGGGAGCGGGGTGGAATGCTGTGGAAAATAAATAAAAATTGCTTTATTTATTAAGCATTAAACAATAAATGGGATTATTTTTATCATTCAGCAAAAGCATAGAAATTTGTGTGTTTTGCAAAGGGGCAGCCAAGAGCTCCCCCTTCCCCCTCCCCCACACCCCCCTCCCCACGTGAAACAGAGTCGAATGGAGTGGAATAACGGGGAATGGTTCGAGAAAACAATAAAGGAATAAGACTTCCCCCCCACACCGTCAGAGTGTGAGAATAATAACCAATTCAAATACAGAGCAAGGGCCCAGGACGAGGACGAGGACGACGAAGCGGATGGGCAGGATAAGGAGGGATGAAACATCCCGGTGGATAAAGAGGAGTCCCTGGATGAGGGGCGGCGGGTGGGTGGTGGGTGGAACGATGAAGAGCTACAAAGATAAATAAATGCAAATCATTTTTTTTTTTGTTTTTTCTGTTATTGTTCCTCTTGGACCCACCATTGGGCATACCCAGCAATCATTGGCCAAAGAGGGTGGCAAGGGATTTGTGGAGCAGTTTCTTTTTTTACTTTAAGCTTTTTAATTCATTGGATTGCTGAAGGAATGTTTTGAGCTGTGTTTTGTGTTGCCCAACACTGTCTTAGACGCTTTTCAACACAGAAAGTAGCCCAGTGTCCACCAAAAAGTTTCCAATATTAACCTTGGATAAAGTCCTGTAGAATTATTCGAATAATGGTGAAAGTGAAAGCTTAATATTGCTTAATTGTTGCCTTAACCAACACTGGAAGATCAAAACATGCCACACAACAGGAAACAACTCTTTCAATATGGATATTATCTTTAACAAATGATCAGATAATCCATAAAACTGAAGATTGGCATTTTGTACACTATTTATGGCGTTAACCAACACTGGAAACTGATAAAAACTCTCGTCTCACCTCGATCCAAAGACTACAGGGCATCGCCTTGGTCGTGACCCTGCTGCCATGGCAGTGCGTTTATCTTCTAGCTTCAGGATTTTCGGGGATGCTTACCAACCGACGTCACAGAACGGCGGACATTACGGCGGAAAGTGCTTGTTGAAACGGAGGATGGGCTCGGTTGAGTGGGATGCCAGGGATGTCTGGCGGTCGGAGGATAGATGAATGGTTGGTTGAATGAATGCGGATGTGGATGCGGATGTGGATGCGTCGGCCTACTACACCTCTAAATAGCCAATCCAACTCATTTAAATGGAACATTTCGGCTCTCTGCCTCTCGGGCCTCCCACTCCCCTTCCTTTTGGCCATACAATACATTTTCCCGTAGCTGATTTCGGCACAAATTTGTAACTGTCACTTTGCATTACCTTTTTTTCCATACGGCCATTTTCATTTCCATTTCCATTTCCATTGCTGGCCAGAAGAGTCCGGCCTGGTCCGGAGGCCAAACGGAGTGAGTGAATGAGTGAGTGTTTGCGGACGGGGGACAGGGGACGGGGGGGACGGGGTGAAAAAGGTAGCCAAAAGTTTTGCAAGTGACAAATAGATTTAAATTTGAAAATACTTTCTGCTACTGTTGTTGGAGGAGGGCTGCCTGTGCGGATGCAAAGCTCTATTGACAGCGGTCGTAAATCTTTGTGAAAGTGCCTCCCTGCCTGGCAAACCCATGTCAGAGGGTTAAGGACTGAAGGACTGAAGGACTAAAAGGACTGGGGCGGGGCGAGGCGTGAAAATGTGTGTGATACAAACATGGAAAATCAGTTTTCAAGTTGTGCTCCGATTACGGGGGGGGAAGGTTAAGCCCCCAACCCCCGGGCAAGGGTCACACTCGAGTGATTTTGATCGCTCAAAAAGTGGAAAATAGAATTCAAATCTATCGCTATCGATATGGCTCTGGCCACTCCAAAAATTATACTTTCCCCAGAACACGGACGGGACACGGTGTGTAATCTATTCCATTATCTCTCTCTGCGGCGTCACGAGCTTTGTTTATTCCCAAAAAAGAAAATAGTATCACTTATTCTTAGATCCAAGAGAACGTATGTATTTCCCATTGAGATTTCCCTGCCTTCGGTTGTAATTTTCGGCTGCTATTTATAGTCGCTTTTACTGCGAATTTTCATTACCAAGTATTTCGATTCTACAATTGATGTATTCGCAATGATCTCATCTCTCTCTTTGTGCCAAGTATTTCCATCTGTGTCTACATTGTCTATTTGAAACATATTCCATTTCGCTGGGCTTTGGGTATCGTTTCGTTTCCACTGAAAAAAGCCGAGCAAGAGGGCAGCAATTATGTGCAGCGGGGGCATGCACCGACCGGGGGCAGACACATGGAATTGCATTTACAAATTATCATTCTAATGAGTGCCCCCCCCCCGCGCCCCGCGTTGGGCGTGCAATTATAGCGCCGCCTCAACCGAATCGCTGGAAATAAGTGCCACCACTTGGCCCTTGCGTGCTGCGAGGGAGGGGGTGGAGGGGGTGGTGGCATTCCAGACCTATGAATGGAATGGTGGATCGGTGGGGGGGTGTGGTTTGGGGACAACTAGGCCATCGCTGCTCCTTCGGAAGGTTGATCTACTTTTCGGGGAGTACCTACTGTCTCTGTCTCCTGTTACTCTTTGTCTTTGCCTCTCCCTCTCCCCCCTTCTTTGCCAAGGGGTGTCGGCTTCACAAGTTCTGTTTTTTTTGGCTTTTGTTGTTTTGTTTTGCAATGAAGAAGGAGCTGAGAGCAGGGCGCGGGGAGCGGGGAGCAGGGCGGGGGAAATTAAATGAAACTGAAAACCGGTTTACAACAACAAAAAATTCCTGACTTTTGTTTCACATACACGAAAAAAAAAACCAAAATAAATAAATAAAAACGGAGTTTATCTTCGGGCAGCGGCCAGGCCCCCCCTCCTTCCGCTCTCTTGTTCTCCTGCCTTTTATCAAAATTCTTTGAAATGCATTCACACACACACACACACACATACACCAGGGCCCCTCTGTCTCTCTCTCTCTTACACACACACACACACAAAATTCAATGTTTTTTTTTCTCTCTGGTTGGTGTTTTTTTTTTTTTTTAATTTTTATATTCTTTGACTCTTTGGCTGATTCTGTGGCATTTTCTTCCTCTGCCACTGCCTCTGCCACTGCCTCTGACTCCACTCTTTGCCACTCGCTCGCACGCTCCACTGAACAGCCAGCAGCCACAGAACGAAGGAGCGTCGCAGTCGCCGCCGCCGCCGCCGCCGCCCCTGCACTGCACTGCACTGCTGGAGTACCCTGTAATTGGTGGGGTATATGGCTCCAGAGGGGTTGTAGGGGACACGAAGGAACTGGCAATGTCTGGGGCTTGTAGGATCTCCCAAAATAAAGCAAAATATATATCTGCAATCAGCACTGAATCCCTAAAACAATCTAGAGGCCAATGCATAGGTAGACTTTAGTATCCAACTTCCTCTTCCGACCAAGGGGTATCTGCTAGTCCATACCCGAGACCTCCTACTTGTTCCAACTTGTTTTTTGGTTTGTTTAGGAGTTGGTTCATGGCTTTGAAACGCAGTCGACTCCCAGCGTCCCCGCGTCCCATCGTCCCCGAGTTTTGAGTTTTTGGAGTGCGGTGCGGTGCGGTTCTGGACTGGAGACCGGACTCTGAGCATGCATGTAAAAATGCAACGTAACTTGCAGCAGGGGGCGACGGGTGAGAGCCCTTCCTTCTGCTCTCAGAGACTGACTGACTCTGGGACTCATCTGACTTTGACTTTGACTCTGGGCCTGGCACTGGCACTGGCACTGGTTCTGCTGGGTTCTGCTGGGTTCTGCTGGGTTCTGCTGGGTTCTGCTGGGTTCTGGCTGTTAGACTGGATGGCTGGCTCTGGCTGGCTCTGGCTGGGAATTTAGTTGAAGTTGCCACAGGGAGTGCTCTGTGTGTGGATGTGTGGTCTCTCTGCTGATTTTCAGGTCTGGCGTTTGCTCTCTCCCTCTTTCTCGCCGGTTGGTCGGTCTTCTTCTGTGATGTTTGCATGTGGCATGTGGCATGTGGCATGTGGCATGCGGCATCAATGGGGTCACAGGATGCGTATGACCACTGGGAGGTGTGTATTGTGTATTGTGTGGTTGCCCCTAACGAAAGAAACCTCTAGCCCTCTGCGTTTCATTCAATAATTTTAATTAAAATTTGTTAAAACCTGGAAGGATCAGCAGGATCACTTGAGATTCTTAATCAACGCTTGGGTGTACTCCGAACACTTGGCCTTGCCACCCAGATCGATGGTCCGCACGTTGTCGTCCTTGACGGTCTTCACGATCGCCTTCTCGATGGCGTCCGCATACGTGGGCAGATCCACGTAGTGCAGCAGCATCACCGTCGACAGCAGAAGGGCCGTGGGATTGGCCAGATCCTTGCCGGCAATGTCCGGTGCCGTGCCGTGGACAGACTCAAAGATTGCCCCAGAGGTGCCAATATTGCCGGACGGCGTCAGGCCCAGGCCCCCGATGAGGCCCGCACAGGTGTCGGAGATGATGTCGCCGTAGAGATTCGGCAGGATGAGGACATCGAACCGCTTGGGGTCCTCGACAATCTTCAGGCAGACGGTCTTGAGGGTCACCTCCTCGTACTTGACGCCCGCTGCAGTCATTTCCTTCTCGTACTTCTTGGCCGTGTCCCGCATGCAGCGGATGAACAGTCCGTCCGACATCCGCATGCTGTTGATTTCGTGCACGGCCGTGATCTGCTTCCGCTTCATCTCGATTGCATACTTAAAGCAGTACTCGGCGACCCGCATGGAGGCGCTGCGCGTGATCAGCTTGATGCTCTGCACCACCCCGTTGACGAGGGTGTGCTCCAGGCCGGAGTACTCGCCCTCGGTGTTCTCCCGAATGGTCACCACATCCACGTCGCCGTACACCGTCTCCACACCCGGCAGCGACTTGCACGGCCGGATGTTCGCGTACAGATTGAACAGCTGCCGCAGGGTCAGGTTCAGGGAGCGGAAGCCCGTCCCCACGGGCGTCATCAGGGGTCCCTTGAGGCCCACCTTCGTGCGGTTCATGCTCTCAATCACCGCGTCGGGTATCGTCGTCTGGCCCCTGCTATTCATCACCGGCGTCACGTCCACGGGCTCGAAGATCAGCGGCGCCTTCATCGCATCGAGCACTTCGAGGACGGCCATAGAGATCTCCGGGCCAATGCCATCGCCAGGCATCAGCGTGATGAGGCGTGGCCCCTTCGAGCCCTTTCCCGTTGGGGGAGGAGGTGTCTTTGTGCCGCCGGCGCCGGCGCCTTCGTTCTTCCCTGATCCTCCGGCGGCTGGTGGTTTGCCCGGACCTCCGGCGGCTGGTGGTTTGCCAGGACCTCCTGGGGCCGGTGGCTTTCCGGGAGCTCCGGTGGCTGGTGGTTTGCCAGGACCTCCGGCAGCTGGTGGCTTTGCAGGACCTCCTGCGGCTGGTGGCATTGCAGGACCTCCTGCGGCTGGTGGCTTTCCAGGACTTCCTGGGGCTGGTGGTTTGCCAGGACCTCCAGCAGCTGGTGGCTTTCCAGGACCTCCAGAGGCTGGTGGCTTTGCAGGACCTCCGGCGGCTGGTGGCTTTCCAGGACCTCCGGCGGCTGGTGGCTTGGCAGGACCCCCAGCAGCTGGTGGCTTTCCCGGACCTCCAGTGCCTTTAGGCTCTTCGGGGCTTCCAGCGGCTGCTGGCTTGGAGCACGTTTGCGGAGGTCCTGCCGCCTTGGCCTCCTTTTTCGGAGCAGCAGGGGCAGGAGTGCATGCACCCTTCGCCTTCGAAGCAGACTTTTCCGTTGGCGCAGCTTTGGCTCTCTTGGGCGGGAATAAAGGACCTTTTGGGGTTGGTTCGGGTGCAGAATAGGGGCCCTTTGGTTTTTTCGGCGGTGAACAGTACGTTCGTGTTCCTTTGGGGGGTGGCTTGACTCCCGAGAAAAGCGGCGGTTTTGGGTTTTCTCTGGCCTTTGGAGTATCTGGAGCTCCTTTTCTCGGGGATTCCCCTCCTGGAGAGTCGACTTTCGGCGACTCCTCCGAGGCAGGTCTTAAGTCTGGATATATATCCACTTCCAGCCCGTAGAGGTTCAATGTAGGCGGGTCTGCAGATGGTTTTGCGGCAGTTTCCGGAGTAGGAGGATCTCCGGATGGGCTGGATGGGGCTTCGGAAGGCTGGGGGGCATCTCCTGTCTCTGGATCTGCTGTAGACTGTTCTGCTGGTGCTGCAGGTTGAGTCCCCTCCGGGTTCGATGGTGACTCCTCTGATAACTCGGTGGCAGGCGCCTCTCTAGGTGCTTCCGGCTCAATCGATGGCACAGACGGCAGTCCAGAGGGGGAAAATCGTGGAGCCTTCGGCGGCCTAGCCTCCGCTCGTACACCCGGAGTCACTGGAAATCCCCTTGCAATGGACCCTCTTCTTGGTCTCGTCGGTGGAGCATCAGAAGGAGGAGGAACGTCTCCCTCTCCTCCCGAATGGCTCGAGAAATATGCAATCAGTCCACCAAAATGGCTGGGAAGTGGCGCCAGAAACCCAGAGCTCGGCAAACTCGCGAGGTTTCTCGTGGGCGGCCCGAGCGTCGTCCGATGAATCTTCTTGTGGATCTTCCTTCCAGCCGGCGGCTGATCTTTGGCCGGATCTTCACTCGCCGCGGCCGCAGTTCTCTTCGATCTTCGCTTAGTTTTACTTGCCGCATTCCGTGGCAGGCTGTGCTTGATATCGGCAGCAGGTCTCCATCCCTTCGAGGAGCTCATGGCTGCCACAATCACCTGTTGCGGTCTCGGACGCAGCCAGTAGGCCGTGGAATGCCCACAGAGGCGGGCCCCGAACCACAGATGACGCGTTGACATCCTTCAGTGGGAAATTTAGATCCAACCAGAGGCCGAGAGAAAGAGAGAAATGTTCTATAAAAAAAGACGCTTTCAATTCCCAAGTTATGGGAGTATAAAAGATTTTCACAGAGACGGAAAAGTCGTCGCGTTCCTTGAAATTTGTGATGATGGAAAATTCATTTCGAGGCCAAACAACAGCCATCAAATGGCGGAAGTCAAACACTTGGCCAACATCCAGCGATTCCACGGCCCCCTTTCCAGCTGCAATTTGCATAGCCTTTAGGCCAAGTCCTTCGTCCATCCTTCTGGTGGAGGTATCTGCAGAGGGGAACCGGGTCAGTCTTTTGTTTCTGGCGACTGGCACCGCGCGTCAGAAAGAAATAAAACTTTCACAGCCAAAAACACGCGACAAAGAACGTGGCCAACGACGACGACAGCGGTGGGGGGGGGGGGGGTCGGGCCAGAAAGAGGAGGTGGCATCCCAAAAGAAAGGGTTGCCTTCTCTCCTTCTTTCTGCAGTCTGTCGGCACTGGTATGACGATTGCAATTTGGCATGGCTCGGATGGTACGTTTGCTCTGACGGCTGGAGCATACCCTCTAATTTGAGGCGTACTTTGGGCCATCCATGGATATGGCTATGGGATTTCCCCTATTCTAAGATGTAGGGACTCTCCACCGATGAAGGACCCAGAAATAATTTGAAGCTGGTTTCCATTCATCAATTTTTCACATTTATGTAACATTTGAAGTTCTGTTTAGTATTTTTGGTCTAGTATTTCTGTGGTATTTTATTTAGATTTTCTGGTATTTCATCTGCACTTTAATCTATCGAAAATGGCATCAATATGGTAATTTTATGAAATTTTTGCAGATTTTTCGTTGGTATTTTTTTAGTATTTTTTTGGTATTTTTTGTGTATTTTTTTGGTATTTTTTTCATTAACATTTATATACACATAAATTGATATGGGGCCGTCTTATCTTTGTAAAGGCATTCCATGGACTCCACAGTTCTGCTGCCTTTTCTCTCTAGATCTAATCTTTCACAGATTCTTCCCTTTCCGCTATATGGATAGCCCCCTTTGACAACAGGGTATACATCCAGTGGAAACGACAGTCAGCAATTCTACTATATTGGGTTGAGTATTTCTTGGTTTGTTTATTTCTATTTCTATATATACATATATATATATATGTACTTTTTTTTTGTCTTAAAACCTAATTAAATTACTTTTTTGCCTGCAATTTCATTTTCCAAAATTTGTTTGCTTTGAAGGTCGGAGAGGAAGGATTCCCCCCTGCAGTCGGCCCCACCATTGGCTTTAATTGAAAAAGTTTCATTTGAAGCACCGCTCAAACCCCCCTCCACCCCCCTAGCCAGTGGAAATGGAAAATGATTTAATATGAAAAACTCTGTCATGTATTTAATTAGAGAAGAGTGGCAGTGGCAGTGGCAGTGCCAGTGTTTCCCAGTCAACGAAATTAGCAATCAAATTATGTGCCGAGTGGAAGGAAACCCAGAAACCGAAACCGAAACCGAAATCCCCCCCGTATTTTTTGTTTCTTTCGTTTCTTTGGGGCACACCTGCCGCTGCCGACACCCATGTGTGTGTGGTGGCCACGCCCCGCTCCGCCCACCGTCACGCTGTTGTCATTCCTCTATGTATTCGTTTTTGGCATAATCATATTTCAACGGATTAGCATAATTTTAACCGAAAGTTATATGTTTGTATAATAATGAAAAGTGAATGGCTGTTCTGCTGACACGATGGTGGTGCCGGTGGTGTCGGTGGTGCCCCTGCTGGTGGTGGGGCAGGGCATCGGGTTGCAGACAGCAGTCGCTCCCCGTTCGCAAGTTTTTTTTTTGTATTATTAAATTTTCCTACTGTTAAAACCCCCGCCGATGTGCTCACATTTATATTCATATTTCTGTGGCGTGGGGGCGGGGAGATTCGCCTTTTTTTTTTTTTTTTGGTGGCACTTCTTGCCTTTGTTTCTAAATGATTGATGATCTCCACGGTTAACCCCTCGCAAAGACTCACGGACAGCCAAGCCAGGCCACGTCTCGATGGACCCATGTAGAACTTACCCACCAGATATCAGACACGATATCTGTGTGCACAGCAAATACAAACGTATGCTAAGTACAGATACAATAGATACCAGTCCATTGTGGGCTCTCTTTTCTTCGAATACACACCTGCAAACGGAGGAAAGGCAAATAGATACAGGGAATTAGTTAATTAGCAGGCAAGTAGCTGGGGGTATTTAAGTATAGTGTTAGAAATTATAGACTCTCCGACTCTCCCCTACATGGTTCTCGTGGAACTCGAGACCTAGAATTATAAATGGAACCCGATACATTTTTATTTGCCAAGATTCATCAGAATTTCGGTACACAAATCGAGAGCTTATCCCGAAAGTTCGAATTACATTTCCTCTTAGGTTTTCTGGGAACTCTCTCAAGCCAAACTATTATTTTGAGTGATGCCAAATCCTCAAATTCTTTGCCTTTTGCACATTTAACACTTTTTGTTGCTGTTGCTGTTGTTTGCATTTACTTCTCCGTTTATTTGGTTTTCAGCTTTGTGTGCAAAAAAAAAGAAAATACACAGACAACTAAAAACTAAAAACTGAGCAAAACTCCAAAATGCCCAAAGTCAATAAACCGCATAAATCGGGGGAACAAAAACAAAAACAAAAAAAAATAGAAACACGAATAAAGAACCGGACAAACAGAGGGACCCACCGCATGAAAGAGAGCATAAAGTAATGGAAGTCAAAGTCAAATAACACCCCAAAAAAATACAAAAATACAAAATAAATAAATACAACAAGCGCAGAAATACAATAACAAGAATGGAACGAGCTTTGGTCACGGGTGGAGTCGAAGCATTTGATGCTCTTTTTAGCCCACTTTCATCTATGCATTTCCCCATATTTGTATCTGCCTTTTCGGAGGGTTTAAGCCTCGATTAAGCTACGATTCTCCTGTTTAATCGATGCTAAACTCTGCTGAACAGCTGCCCGAAATTGTTACCCCTTCACGACCCGAAAGGAATGTAGAGTTCCTCCCCAATAGACTCTCCATACTTTAAAGAGAACCCCAAGCACTACATATACCCTTTTGGAAGGGTATAAAAAAGCAAACAGCTTAGGCTAATTCCCAAAAAAAAAAATACTAAGCAAAAGAAGAAATCAAAGCGCCTTTTGGGTAATTTTTTTCCATTTTGCTGAAAACTCCAAAACAACAAAAGAAATCATTCACACACATGGATCTATGTGTGTCCATAGATATTTATTGTTGTTGCTGTTGTTGTTGTTGTTGTTGTTGTTGTGACGATAACAAGACAAGACCCCCGCCAACGCCATACTCGTATTAGCCGAGCTTTCAAAAGAACACAACAACAACAACAAAAACAAAGATAAAAAAAAAAGCAGCAAAAGGCAATTTGCTCGCCTTTTGGCTGCAAGATGGAAGGCTTTTCATTCCACCGCTCCTGCCCTCGCCCCCACCCTCACCCTCACCACCTCTATCTCTATCTACAGATATTGTATATTGTATCTCCTTTCTGACCATTTTCAATGTTTGTGCTCGTCATAAAGTGATTTATGGGCTTTAGGTGCAAATAATTGATTTATGCCTCTGCTCCGCGACTGCCAGACCACCGACCTCCATTGCGCGACATGTAAATACGAGAAGTTTTTGTTGGCACACAATATAACAAGAAGGGCGAAGGGGGGGCCAACGGGAGTAGCTATATCTTTCAGTAATTGGATAAATATTTAGCCAGTGCCAGTGCTGATAACTGGCAAAGATACTGGCGTACGCCCGTACAAGTGGAGACCCAAAGATAACCAATATCTAAAGGGTTTGCGAGTAGAAAGATAGAAGCGCATCTCCTGGTTTTTGCGCCCCAAGATCTACTTATCTATGAATCGGAGTATTCCACGAATTTTGGGGCAACTCTTTTGCTACCTTGTTGCTCTAGATACTTTTTCATATGCTTTTATATTTGCGCTTAAAGATCATCATCAAAAGTGTATTTTCTAGCTCTAAAAATAGTCCCAAAAAAATCACCCGTCTAAGCCCATTACGCTCGGATCCATAACTAACGCCACTCGAAGCGGAAATGCCCAACTATTTAGCTATGTATCTGTGTATCTGTGTCTGCCCCGACCCCACATTCTGTGCCCCATTCTGTGCACACTTCACTAGGCATTAACCTTTACCTTTTTTCCGTGAACATAACAATCCAGAAATCCGAAAGAAAAACGAAAAGCGAAAAACGAAAGAGCTCTGGCATCCATGAATCAAAAAAAGAACAACAAGAATCCACGGCGACGTTTGTATCTCAAAAAGCACTCCATACGCCATACACCATACTCCATACTCCATAGTCCATACCTGTGTATCTGTATCTGTATCTGTATCTGTGTATCTTTCGAGTGTGTGTTCATTGGAAAACAACGATTACGCGGCACAAAAGACACATGGACAAACAATGAAGAGATGGAAGATGATGTAGAACCCAAAACAGAAGAACAGAACGGAGAGAGAAGTAAGTCGTCGGCAAATTATGCTTTGACTGTGTGGCATCCACTGCCGCTGTTGCAACATCATTGCATAAGCAGCGCACAAGCGTGTTTTTGACCATTGAAAATCGGTCAAAAAGGAGTGGAAAATCGTATCCCCGCTAGATACAGATACGGATACAATTGCTGTCTGTTTGCACTTTTGTTTGTTTGTGTTTTTGATGAATTCACTTGTAAAATGTTTAAAAATAGCAGGTACATCGGCATGAGATACAAATGTATCTAGCCATCTACCTGTGCATGCCCGCCTTCTGGCGGCAGATACAAATTTCACACATTTTATGGCCGTACAGATACAAAAGGCTAAACATTTAATTGAAGCAATTTTCCTTGGGCTGCCATTCGGTGGATATCTTATCGGAGACGATCGGGTCTTATCGAATGGAGTGCAACTCTTATCGAGTGCCCCTGCGCCTCCTCCTCCTCCTCCTGCTGCTCGTTATAGCCATGTCCAACGAGCGGAAAAGGCCAACAAGTTGACAACTTCCTTTGGCACTTAATTGCGAGGCTTTGTATCTGTGTATCTTTGTATCTTGTTTCAAATTAAACGAACGCAAAACAACCCTCAAGATACATATGTACATCCCAAAAATACAACAACAAGAAAACAAACAAAACAGGTTCAAAGCATGAATGAATTTAAGATACATTTCAGACATCATAAAAATGTCACTTGTGGTCGCGCGTACACTTCCCAGAAATGACTTTTCTGTTCTACTGAATGAATGGAGGAAAGGCGAACCACCTAAGAAATGAATGAGAGTTTGAAGAGCGTAGAACGTAGACCGTAGAACCCTCAACTATAGCCGTAGTATCTGTACAACCAACAGATGTATCCGCTCGAACATTCAAACCGTTGTAGGAATGACATCATTCCGACGACGGCATGAAATTGAACTGAAATTTAAAGAACGAACCGATCCAATGAACGCACCAATTGAGGTCAAAAAGTGTAAGAAAAAGCAAACATTAAGAAAGTAGCGCTGAAAAAAAATCCCATACAGAGGCAAGGAAGGCAAGATTTTGTTGTATCTTTGTATCTTTTGGTTTGGTTTCGTGTGAAATCGATGGGTGCACAAGGCGTTCAAGCACTCTGCAGATCGCAGGCGTCGTTAATTTTAATTGAAACTAATTAGCGCAAATATAAAACACAACAACAACAAGAATACGTACTTAAAATGCGGCAAACGGTTGGGGGTTCGCGGTTCGCCGTTTTTCGGGGGCAATGTTGTAATATCTGGCATGCGGATGGTAGATATTTGGCCATAAAATCCAATAGATACAGCAAACAGCACGGTTAGCAAGTATCTGTTTGGGAATCTTTCGAGCGGAAAGAAAGAGTGCGTCTTTGGTGGAACTGAAGTTCATTTCAATAAATTGAAAGCAAGAGCGTAGATTGGGCTTGATTTTTGGGCATAAATGCAGACGATTGGCAATTAATTAGCATTCATTTTGATGACTGATTGAAGGATTGGATGGATACATTCCATTCGACTTGGTTCCTTCATCAAAGATACTATATTCTAGTGCTAAAGATACTTTCCAGAAGACACATTCCACTGCCCACTTTTAAGATACTTTTGCAGGGCTAAACCACTGCTTGGGCCATCCTTTATTCCAAGTAAAGCCTATCACAGCCGCTTAATCCCCAACTAATGAACACCACTCGCACCCTTGCGAGTATCTTTATCTATTCATTCAGAACTCCGCCACCCAACTGGATCTGGGCGTGGGAAATGGTGGACAGAGAATCCAAGTTAAAACGAAGTGGAAAACCTCATTTCGAACTATTAAAACGCAACGACTGCAGCATTTTGTAAACTACTTAAAACCCATTCGTAATTCGTAATTAGTTTTTCTCGAGTCTCGAGTCTCGAGTCCAGTCTCGAAGCTCGAGTCTCAAATCAATTAAGTTTTTCGTCTGTCTGGGAGTTTAATTGATCGCCACAGACATTGAAAGAGTGAGAGAAATGGACAGAGAGAAAGAGAGAGGGGTGGGGGGTGGGGGGAAAGCCAGCAATTAAACTCCAACTGAAAAAAAGAACTTAAACTTCGAGTTAATTGATGAATGGAGATACGGAGATACGCGAGTGCAAGTTCGAATGAAAATCCAGACCCGAAAAAACACTCTGGACTGCAACTGCCGCGAATGCGCGTATCTATAAACTGTTTTTTTAATTATCTCACAGATACTTATGGAGTGTATCTTGAACTGTGGTTTAAGCGAAACAAGAAACAAGTTTTTCGGTTTACGATCCTACAGTCTGAGCGCGTTTTTTATTTGATGGATTTCCATCGCTTGAAACTTTTAATTGGCATTCATTCATTCATATGGCGGATCCCATAGATACTCGCAAGGGGTGTGTTTCCGCCTAGAAGCAATAGTCAAAGGAAGTGCTTCGAGATCTGCAGGCAAAAGGAAAACTCTGTCAGTCGGTTTTCATCGCTTTTTCCTTCCTCTATTTGCACTTTTTCACTTATCTATCCGCAGAAACACACACGCACATCACGTATGCGACTGCAGATACGGCGGTATCTCATAGTTTGCTCTAATTTTACGTCGAGTTGCGAGTTGCTTAAATATTTAGTAACAAGACGACACACACTTGCACACACAGGTGGAGATACATAGATATACAGAGATATAGCTACAGAGATATGATAAGATACTGTGGCCACACTACATCACTACATGCCACACGCTACAGTACTTCCTGTTGCGGAGCAACGTCTCGTGTTAATGTTAATGTTAATGTTAATGTGGAGCTTGGTTCTGGTTTCTATTTCGAGTCTTTTGTTTATTCTGCAGCCCAAAAGATACAAAGATACAACTCAATTAGTAGTCGGGGGATGCGCGCAATTAAATTAAAATTGAATTTTATGGTGGAGCGCCTTCCATGCCTCTTGGACGAGGCACCTCTGCCTCTGCCTCTGCCTCCGGCTCTGGCTCTACCTGGAGTTGGGGCAGGAGTCGGAGTTGGGGGCACACAGGCAGCATTTATCGTATGCATGACACTCGACATGAGATTAGCATCACAAACAGCACATAAAAAAAAATTGTAACGCAAACACACAGAAAATAGATACAGGGAGATGCCCAGATACAGATACATAAATAAAGTACGAGTAAAACTATGTAAACAGTAAATAAATGTCGAAAGCAACAGCCACAAGAGATACAGATACAGATACAGATACAGCCATAAAGATACACGTACTCGAGTACTCTAGGTGCGGATCGAAGATACGTGTGTATCTGACGGCGGCGGAGCCTACTGCGGAGGCATTAGCCGAATTGAAATTCTTTCCAACTTCCACTTGTATCTTTCACAGCCATGCGGGCGGCACTGTATCCCATAGATACTGCTTCTACCTGCGTGTGTGGGAAACAAGAACTCTTCTCTTCAGATACAGGTACGAAACGAGGGAAAACTTGCAACATCATTTCCCCCCTCCCCCCTACCACCTACCATCCCTTTACATTAGTTGGTGTTCTCCACAGATACATTTGTATCTCACGGGTGTATGCGCGTGTGTGTGTGTGTGTGTTGTAATTGTGCGTAAAGACCAAGTCAAGGTCGGTTAATCAATAATAATTATTTTTCACTCAATTACACGCCACACAGCGCCACAGAGTATCTCTGCTTTGGCATTCCTCGGATACAGATACAGATACAGATGCGAGATACTCGGCTACTCTGATACTCCGATACTCTGATGTTTATACATTTTTTGCTCTCCTTTATTTTTCGGTCGTTTCAGATCTTATCTTTTTTGGTTCGTTTTGTTTGGTTTTTTTTTTCGTGGTTTTGGGTTTTATTTCTGACTTTGCATAAACACAAAATTGTGCCATCGACCGGGTATCTCTGCATCTTATGGATGTACATATGTCCGCCGATATATCTTTGCTTATAAATATACGGCACAGCCTTCACACAGATTTTTTTTTTTGTTTTTTAGATGCGTGCCACTTGATACCACGTTGGCACCCCCGCCTCTTGAGACAAATCAGAATAACAAATGACGCCGCCACCCTCCAAAGAGCAGTATCTTTGCATGTGTATCTGTATCTGCGCGATGTAATGAACCTGAGATGGTGCCACCAAAAACTTTGTCCGAGGCGTTTCTCAATGCTCTTCTAATTGCCAAACTGCTGCTGGGGCCACTCGTTCTATAGTTTCGACCCCCACTTGACAGTCGGGTTCAATGGATTTGCATATGCCTCATCTCATGGCTTGCCTCCCCCTGGGACTGCGACTGGCACGGAGACGGGCGGGGGCTGCCAGGGCTTATCCAAGATGAGAGACACAAGAGTAATTGCAGTTGCTGGACGCCAAAACTTTTGGCTGACAAGTGCCTTTACGTGATTGGAGAATTTACGATTGGCAAAGACAGGCGGCAGTGTCTGGCAGAATTTCTGGGGAGCTCGTTTTGGGAGCTTGTGTATCGTATTCCCCCTAATTGGATTGCTTTCTGCACAAGGCTTACCTTTTTCATTGTAGACTCCACTCGAATGAATGTCGATCGACTCGAAATACCCCTTGACGGCCTCACACTGCTGCTGCGCTGTATCCTTGGCGCGCGAGTCCCGCTGCAGGCGCCGCCGATGGTGCGTGGCGGCACTGTGCTGATGCTGGTGCTGGTGGTCCCCCAAATGCTTGCCATCGACGAGGCCCACAATGCCGCCACAGAGGAGGGCGAAGAGCAGGAGCTGCGTCACACAGATGTTCCTCCTGGAGGATACTCCTGTCGTCGCTATCGCTGCCGCCATATTGATGTGGATGTTGTGGATGCTGTTTTTTTTGTTTTATTGTGTGGATGGAAGAGCTTTTCTCTTTTCTTTTTGCACTGCTTGGCACTCAAAGCGCGGGGGGGCGGGGGCACAGACAGACAGACAGAGAGACGGAGAGCCAGCAAGGGAAAGCCACGTGAAGAGAGAGCGTAACGTTTGCAACAAACAGCTGTTTTCCTCCACTAATACACTCTCACAAACTGCCGGCTAACATACACACAAGCACGGCACGCACAAAAACAAAAAACGCGTGAGGGCAATAAAAGAAGAGACAACCAAAGGGGGTCTGTCGGGCGGGCGGGCTTTTTACAAGTTTCTCTGCTGCCGGCGCTGATATCGCAAAAAAAAAAAAGTTTGCAAAAAAATGACACGCGTTTCCAATGTTATTTTTGTTGCTTTTGGCTTTGTTTTAACTGTTCTCAATATATGCCCTAGGAAATGTTCAAAATCCACTCAATGATTTTCCATGACATAACCGTATATAAATGATCTATATAGCACTCCGATTGCTTGTAGCACAAATTACTGATATGCGATTAACTTGCGTTTGTTTTTGTATTTGTTTTTGCTTTAACTTTGTTTTTGCCTTTGTTTTATTGCATTTGGCGAAAATAGATTTCCCGTACTGCCCTCGGGGCGACGGACTGCACTTGCATTATTTATAAAGCGGCGTGATATGGGGTCGGTCTGCCAGCGATTTCTACGGATCGAAATACCACAGCGAACCAGCAGCCTATAGCCTCGACAAAAATTCAAAAAAATTACGTCAAATCGTACGCGGGAACGCAACGCAGACAAACGGGTACTCAACACGACCGAACCGAGCGCTGGAAAATTTAAACATGTTCATTCATGTTCATTCACGTTCGTGGCGCAAGGCAGTTCTTTGAAAACCGCCCGCCTTCAGTCCACATGTTGCTAGCAATCATGTTGCCGGCAAGCCAAGAAGAGGTAGGGAACACAGGCCAAGCGACACCGAAAATACGACGCATGCAAGGTGAAATGCACCCCAACACTTGAAATACTATGATTGTTGACGGGGCTTGTAAACAACCATAGCATATTGTTGATCAAACACGGTGAGGTGAGGTGCGTGGGGTCTTGAAATGTTGCTGGGCCGTTTTTTCCTCGCTGTCCATACCTTTTTTGCGTTAAAATATGAGCTTCGGCTGACTTCGGAAATGTTGCTAGAAAGTCCGGACTCATGTTGTTAAGGCAAGTGTTCTCTCGCTGTCGCTGTTAACTTCGCTCTTTCGCTGTTGACTGACTCTCTCACATGTTGTTCGTGCATGCTTAACATCCGAAATAGCTGACATGGACTTTAACATTCACATTAATTTAACACAGCCGAAGTAGTCCCGTTTAACAGAATGCTCTCTCGGCCGAAACCGAATATGACCCGGCAAAACAGATGTTCGTACAGTGGGTCTTGGCGCAATGGAAAGTGGAGGAAATTAGCTCGAATGGAATGTATGGATTGCTCCAGTTGACCTGTTCAACGGTTACCGCAGTTCCTGCATGGAATATCAACTCATCTACATGCCAGAGTTCTTATAGTGTTATGATGAGGAGAACTTAACACCTGACCATAAAGTACTTCCCTCTTTACTGTGAGCCCAGTTCCATTTCCATTCTCATCCCCCTTCCCTTTGGTGAATCATCTGAATTCTTTAAAATATTTATTGATATTCTTCCACTTCTGTTGTAAACACAAAAATGTGGATCGCTGCAATTTGAATATTCGACGAAAATCAATACTTACCACTGCCCCTTCCAATGGGCTCCGGCTCGATTCCCGCTCCGTCTCCCTTTCATCGTTGCCGCTGGTAGAAGAATTTGCATGTTTGCTCTTAATTGATGGCTGGAATGGGTTCTAATTTTATTTCGCATTCCATTTAAGATCGGTTTAATGAACTCGCCCAAGCCACTCTCTCCCTCTCTCTCTCTCTCTCTCTCTCTCTCTCTCTGTCTTTTTCATTTTCTCTCTGTAACTGTTATTTCACACCTTTCTTTCCACTTGGAGAGAGAAAGAGAGCCAGCGAGTGTTGGTTGTCTGGGACTACACGTGGTGTTGCAGTGCGGCAGTGCGGCAGTGCGGCAGGGCATAGGCACTGCACGACTCTTTTATTTTGCAAGGGACTTTCACTCATTCCAGGCAACACCGCCCCCGCGGGCGCTGTTAAATACCTGAGCCTCTCTTTTCTGCCTCCTCACTCTCCCGCTCCCGCTCTCGCTCTCTCTTTCTGTGTCTCTCCTACTGTGTCGTGGTATCTATTTCTTCATTAACAAGCCATGTCAGGGAGGGAGGGGGGCTGGCAGGGGTCAGGGGACTTCATGGTGGTCAGACTTCCAGCTGAGCGGCAAACGCCCGCCCTCATTTGGCCTTGTTCTCCTCTCCTCTCCGCTCCCCTCCCCTCCTCTCCTCACGTCTCGTCTCTGTTTCTTTTCTATACCTCTGCTGATATGTTCATCACGAAGTGGATCGGATCACTCTTCCAATGGAATGGAATCCTATTCAAATTGGAAACAGTAGTGAAGAGCAAAGAGGAGAGGACCCCCCAAAAACAGCAACAAAAAATGTGAGTCATGCGAGGCGGAAACAACAGTTCCACCAAAACCGAAACGAAAAACAAGAGCAAAGGAAAAAGGTAAAGTCGAAAATTAAACACCACACCACATCGTTTAGATAAAGTTATAAATTATAAGGCAGGAACGATCGGCACTGGTGTTCGATGAGAGGAGAAAAAAACAAAATCAAAAGAATTTGTGTAGCCTCGGTAGTCGAAGTGTTGGATACCCTTCCATAGCGATTGGTCCTTTGATGTTCTGTACTCTCCTCGAAACTCTTCAGAAACACTAGGTATTTTGCATAAATATTTTCAAAATCATCATATTCCCCCCCTTAAAGGGTATCAAAACCGAAACGAAGACCCTTTTAGTAGCTTTGTCTTTGTCTCTCTTTGGATCCACAGGTAAGACACTCACTCTCTGAGCGGGTGTGTGTGTGTGTGTGTGAGTGTGTGGAAGATGAAATTAAACGAATTTAGGCAAACGGCATCTATAAATTATAAGAGTGGTAAAGAGAGACAAAGAGGGGATACGATAAAGTTTTTTCCTTTCCCCTCTCCCGATCTTTTATGAGTGCAATCCCAAGCCTGGTCCTGTTTTGTGTTTTGTTTTTTTTTTTCTTATTTTTGGGGCCAACTCAAATTTCGTTTAAACGCTTGATTTAGTGCAAGCAAAAATATGGCCAAATGTTTGTGTTTGTCTGTGTGTTTGAGCACATTCCACAAGCGACAGCGTTTTACACTTGAAATCCTTAAAGCCAGAGCGGGAGCGAAAAAGAGCAAGAGAGAGAGGGAGCACAGCCCGGCTCTTGCCTTTTATCCTGGGCCTCTGGACAGGCACAAACACGTTGGTGGCATTTCCTCTCTCCCCCTCACACAGTGTGTGTGTGTGTGTGTGTGTGTGTGTGACTGGTCCAACAGGTTCCACGGAGATTCTTCTGCTGCAGTCCCTGACTCTGCCTCTGCCTCTGCCTCGGCCGACTGTGGCCTGGCATGCAAATTAAACAACTGCGGTAGCGGATTGTGTTTTTAAAAAGTTTTTATTTTACTTCGAACTTCACTGATATAGATTTAAGTAGAGGGTCACAAAGGAATTCCGGGCCAAGGGATTGCGCGATCTTAATATTTAGCTAGACTTTGCGGTGTCGCTGCTGGATCAAGACTGATTTGAACTTTCTGATCTTTGCATCGTTGATCCCTTTCGGGAATCATTTTTCTATAAACATTTCAATTGATTTCGCCATCCCGAGTATTGGATTTCGTCATCCAAAGAGAGAACTGTAAAAGGCCTAAAGTGCAGGATCTGCAGAAAGCCGGGAGTGAGATTGTTTATGAGAAGCCGGGTGTGGGCAAACATTGGTTTTCCATTTAGGCGAGTGTCAAAGATTGGGATTGCGGCGGGGGCGCTTGAGATTGTACATCTTAGAAATCAATTAGGCGGAGGCCCAAGATTGAAATTGTTTTCGTTTTGGAAAGCCAAAGATTGTTTACAACTCGTATAAGAGCTCAATGGAATTGGGTACGTTAACTCCCCCCATTCTTAAATGTTTCGTCCCGATACATTTTGAAGTTCTGATAGAGCTCTAATTTCTTCTGACAGTATTTGAATGTTGCTTTCCACTATTTCTTCTGACGGTATTCTTATTGATTTAATAAGTACAAATTTGGTTAATTTATAGCCGAAGTAAAATAACATTAACAATATCAAAATGATTAAAAATAATGTTGTTAATGGTAAGGCCGTATTACCTAATGTTATAAGGGGATTTAAAATATTAACATTATCAAAAGAAAATTGCTTATCATTCGATTGTATATAATCGACTAATTCAAAATCGCTATATCTATGATGCGATATATATTTTAGAATTTTACCCTTATCATTTATGTGGGTTATATTATTTATTACAATTGTGTTGTTGAATATAAGGAGATACGATCCTAACAAAGTAGTATTGTCTACGATATTTTTGCCTGAAACTAATATGGCACCATCCTGAATGATGTCTATTTCTTTGTTTTTTTCCCTTTTTTTAGTGCAGTTGGCTTTAAAGCCATTAAGTAAATTGGTGAAACAGGTACTCTTTAAATTTATTTGTGCGTAATTGTTAAAAGTTTCACTTTTAAAATTATTCATTAAATAGTATTTCTCCTTACATTCACAAACTTTTTCACTTATAACTAACATTCCATCATTTTGTGAGATGGCTCTTGCATGGTAAAACTTGCAAATATCTTTAATTTGAGGATATTTTATGTAAATGATTATTAAATCTGCATTTCGAATTATTTTAACCGTTGCAATGTCCAACAGATCAGACAGTTCAACATTATGTTTTTCATGCTTATAAATGTCCTCTATTTCGTTTTTATTTAAAATTTTTGTATTGAAAATTTTTACTTTTAAGAGGGTTATGGTATCAACTAAATTTAGTAGGTCAAAAGTTATTAATTTTAAACGATGCTTTCTCAGTATCGTTTCTTCATTGAAGATGACATTCTTTAATGAATTTGATAGCAATTCAATTTCTTTGAAAAATTTGGAATTTATTACAAATTGTTTATTATTATTTCAGTTAATTCATTTACTTTATTTTGTATTTTCAAAAAGTCGTCATGATCAGGGCTGCCTGCTATCCATTTCCAAATGGTACCTAATTCATTTATTCCCCTTTCTTTCCGTTTTGGAACTAATTCTGAAATCATTAATTTTAATAGACTTAAGTCCATTGATATTTCCCACTCATCGTCTGAATTAATTGATTTGTTGACATATTTGGATTCTTTATCAATTATCTCTCTATAAAAACTCAAATTAGTAATATGGAAAAGTTCAGCGTATGTTTCATAAGTGTAAACGTCTCTGTCGTCTTTGAGCAATAGATAGTCACTATGCGTATAGTCAATTACTTCCGCAGTCGTCAATATAACAAAAGTCAGTATTAGTATATTCGCATACATTTTCTGGAAAAAATATTTAATATTTGATGTTATCTTTATGTATAATTCTGTTTCTATTGTTGATTATAATTTTATTCGGTCGATTTTCCTTAACTACCTGCTTTTTGTATCGGGATTGAAGTTTATTTCTTTCCCCGAATTTCTTTTCATAGACTACTTCTCCTATTTTATAATCTTTTTCTCTTCTATCTTTGTTATGTATCTTAAGCATTTTGGTCTGAGCTTCCTTAAGTAATATTGGATTATGTTTGTGTTCTATTTTGTTATACAATATGTCATATGGCATTTGATTGGTCGTTGAATGTATCGTCAGGTTATATTTCAGTGCCGCCC